TTTATGGATTTTATTGTAATATGTAATAAATTACCCATAACAGCTTCTTTAGTCAGTTTATTATGTACGTCACCACATTTAATTATTAAATTTTTTAGTTCGGACAAGGAAACATTGCGATTTTTCTGAATTATCATCTCGCATGCTTTCTTCGTTTCTGTCGTACAAGATCTAAGCGTTTCTGTTCGACCATGTTTATATGCTGCTGTACTACAAGATTCATACGTCGGTACTGCACGATTATGTTGATAATAATACGCCAACTGGAAAGCTAGCTGCATAATTGCATCAGGACTTACTCCAAACTTTTTGCACTTATTTTTGCCAAATTCAGTAAATATCACATGATCAAGATTCAGTTCATTAATCCATTCCACATATTTTCTCTTTTCTGTATTAATAATGTCTTGTACCTTATTATCTATATTAAATTGGAGCTTCTTAACTTTGATTGCTCCTTGTGGAAGATGTTCGATATCACTACGACAAAATCTTGGTTGTTTAGTTATATCTTTATGTATATCCTTAAAATAAAGAAGGGAACGAAATATAATCAAACATAGGAATTGCTTAAATTGAATCTTAGTATTGTTTACCGTAAGAAACCTCAGTACTGCTACACCATCACCCCATGAATGTTCAAAATTTATTCCTGCATGTCCATCTTGTGTAACGATCAATGAAAAGGACTTGTCAAACCACCTGTTTGTTCCATCCGCGTGAAGATACGTTCTAAGTAACTTATTGTAGTTAACACCAATAACGTTATTACTGTCAGTACCAATACTTTCATCATCTAATATCATCATAAATATAGCAGAATCTATTTTCTGCAGAATTTCATGATTACCAATATGTGACAAATGATTTCTTGCATCGGCCCACAAGTCACGCTTTGATGTTGTAAGGACTCCAATCGGATATTCATTTGCTGATGTATTGTCTTCTAAAATGAACTTTAGACAACTAGCTATTGCATGTGGTTCATAAATATATCCATCTTCATCTATTACATCAAAGGTAAAAAAATTTCCTTTTCTCATTACTATTATATGCTTGCCTGATTTATCCTCATAGATTTCATCTTTTTCTAATTTTGGTAATCTTGTCGTATTAAACAAGTTATGGTACTGTGACATATCCAATGGAAATGCCTAAAATAATAATTTATTATTTGCTGTATTATAAAGAAGTAAAAATACATTTTAATTTATCATAATTGCTAGTTTACCTTAAACAGATAAGCCCCGTACCAACTAAATTTAGGTGGTAGGGACTTTGCAGTTGTTTGAAATATATTACTGTTAGCTGTTTTTGGCTTTAAAAAGAATATCTCAGGCCTTAGAATATTCTCTTTTAATGATTTCATAAATCTTAGTGATGATATAACAAGATTTGTTGCTTGTACTAATTGTGTATTATAATTTGGATCCGATGTTGGTAGAAGAACTAAGAAGGGATTATAATTGATCGGCAAAGACTTACGGTCTTTCAAATATAAATCAAACCAGGGTTTACTGATATAACTGGTATGAACATTTTTTGCATTCTTTTCAATCAGTCTTCTCTGTAGTTCAGTACCATCTTTAGATAAAAATTCATTAACATAAATTGTAGTCTTTTTGAACTGGTCTTCAGATAATAATGGCTTTTGTGCACTTAGATATCTTTTACATGTATCTTCTAATTTTGGGATAGGTAAGCGTGGTAGAGATGGTTGAAAATGCATTGTTGGTATCTTACTTCTTTCCAAATATTGATACTCATCATCTCTTTTAGTAGATATGCTCCTGTAGTAAGAGAATGATTTAAGTGGAATCAGTAATTTTGTCCTTGAAGAATATTATTCTCTATGTATTTATATCATCTATGTATTATAGTACATACAAAGTGATATTTACCTTAAAATTCTTAATAATAATTGCACTTTCCCTTGACCAATCTAAAATTTAGTTATGTATTGTTACAAATAAGAAACTATCCTGTAATAATTTTGTGTTAAATATTTAAAAAATTATAAATTTACCAATTCCTTTTTAAAGT